TGGGTTTGACAGGTGGTTTGGCCTTTCTCTCAGAAGAATTAAATGGTCCAATAATAGATTTCCCATCAGATTTAGAACAATAGATAAGAATAAGTCTTTAAAAAATTTTTCCCACCAGATGGTAAATCTTCACAATCCCTAGCTGGCTCCACAGACGTGTCTGGCGGCAATGAAGGGAAGGTCTACCTGGACCATAATCCTCGGTGACCTACTTGCATCTCAGACACTGATAGCATCAACTTGAATCATTGGCCTCTTTACTGCTCAGAGCCTCGGTTTCTCTATAGAAAAGGAAAGGGGATAAAAACGTTAAGATGAATTTGTAAAAACATCTGTTGATTCTTAAAGCTCACAAATTCTTTGTCTTCAGTGACTACTGTGTAATCTATAAACTAGTCTCCCGGTCTCAGTCTTACCCCGATGCTCATCAAAGGCAGCTAGCAAGAAGCAGGACAAAGTCTTTGCCTTGGACTTGCCCTTGAAGACAATTACAGACTGTAGGACCAAAGCACAGCTGCCTACACCCGCACGCTCCACCCCTCATCCATTCTGCCTGTCACCAGAAAGAGGTGGAAGCAGCAGGGGTGAGCAGGCAGCCTCCCTCTGCCCAGAGTACCTAAGGCAAAGGGGCTTTATATTAAGTCTCTCTCCCACCCCTTCTCACACAGGCGCATGCTATTGCCTTGTCATCACAAAGAACTTGAGAGCAGAACAGTTCTGGTCTGTGTTAGTTCTCTAAATCCAGGCATAATACAGTCAGGGAGGTGGAAAGCCAGGGCCCCCGATCCCCACACTGGGCCCTCCTCTTTGGTAAAGGACTAGAGATTGTTAAGCCATATGCATAATTTTTATTTTCTAATAATCCCATGTTTACAAATTAACAAAGAGCTGAAAATAAGTTAACATTTTTACTTAACCCATCATAACCAGGGTAGTAGTACTTCAGCATGCATTAGTATAAAATATTATTCATGAGGTGTTCCTTTTTATCTCCTCAATCTTGGAGATCCAGCATGGGTACCAGCAACATTTCAAGTGCCCAGTGGCTACATGTGCTGGCAGCTACCACGTTAGATGGTGCATATCCTGAGTGTGTCTGAGAAGATCTACGAAAGTGCAATTACAATTCTGCTAATGTTGACACTGATGGTTAACATGTCCTAATACTCTCATCTGGTCTTTTGTGTACTTAGTATTTTTGCAAAGCTCAGGTCATGTTGCTTACATGACTTCATCCTCCTTTTCTGTACAGGGTGTATCATCATGTTATTCACAATCATCATCTCTGATAATGATATCACATACCGTCTCATCACTTGGATATATTCAATTTCTTACCTAACGCCAAATGCTGGAAAATTGTTAAGTTTTCAGTATTGCAAGAAATGCAGAGGTGAATGTGTCTGTGTTGTTTGTGTCCTTAAGGCCTTGGTGTGAGCTGCCCTAGCATTTTCCCTATTTCCAGCAAAACTATTTTTGAAAAGCACCAAGCAAACAGTTATCATGTGACAAGGAATAGGACTTGTAGGTCCTTCTGCATCTTTGATGCTTAGCTGTGACCCAGAGAGAACCGCCTTCCCATCCATGTCAGTGTTGCTCCATTTATAAAGTAAACTGATTGTACTGGGTGATTTTTTTTTTTTAAAGAGTCTTTCCTGCACTATCCTCACCTTCTAACCCAATCAGTTAATCCTCAGGCTAGTCATTGCAAGCCATCATAGCAAGTCACGTCAAAGTCACCACCTACACACTGTCTTTATCCCGTCTCAGAGTGTTTTCTGTACAGGCCACTGTCACGGCTGGCTTGTGACAGGAGAGTCCACTACAAGGAGCTGTGAGTTTTTAAAGTTAACATCGTATTTTAAATTTAAAAACAAGATTAAGTAAGAGGCAGTAAGAACACGGGAAATGCACCAAGGAAGTACAGGGGACTATTTGCTTGATCTGAATCTTGACTCAGCCCTAAGAGGCCCCCAGAGGCCTGCTCCTCAATGGCTCTAGAGGCGTTCACAGTATGGTACTGGAATAGTGTGGGATCCCACCTCACCAACCATACCCCACACTGGGAGCTGCGGGAAGACAAAGACTTAGCAGCCTCCCCTAAAGGGCCAACAATCCAGAGGGGGAGATCAGAACCCCTGTACACAAACAAGCATGCCTTGGGCAATGTTTTCAGCATAGAAAACCAGATGGAGAATGGAACAATTATCTGAGCAAATCAGGCAAGCCTGCTGTTGAGGAAAAGGCTTCAGGAAATGTGTTCTACTTCTTTTCAGAACCAAGGGGTTAGGGCAGCCTGGGGAAGCAACAAAGCTAACCTTTAGAAAACTCAGAGCTTGCCGGGTGGTGGTGGTGCACGCCTTTAATCCCAGCACCTGGGAGGCAGAGACAGGTGGATTTCTGAGTTCGAGGCCAGCCTGGTCTACAGAGTGAGTTCCAGGACAGCCAGAACTACTCAGAGAAACCCTGTCTCAAAAAAACAAACAAAAAAAACCAAAAAAAAAAAGAAAAGAAAAAGAAAAAAGAAAAAAGAAAGAAAACTCAGAGCTCTGGCCATGCTCTACCAGCTCAGGTAAACTACGAAGCAGCTTGATCTCAGTGTCCTCACCAGTAAACTGGAGCTAGAGTAGCAGCCTGACCCAGAGCCTGCCACTGTGGCCAAACCAGGTAGGAAATGGCGCCATTTGATAGCCACACAAAGTATGCCTCCTAAGAATCTTTTCAAAAGATAGTATTTTCCACTCTTAGTCCAGGCTGGCCTTGAACTTGTAACCCTTGTCCGATTCAGTCTCTTGAGTGCTGAGACTGTGGGCTTGCACCAGTGTGCTCAGCGAGGAATCTGTGGAACATTTGTATTCAACTCTACCAGGCAATTTTATGTGCCTTTGGGGTTTTTGTTTGTTTCTCAAAACCCCACGTGGTAGGTATGACTGTTTGCGCCTGACAGTTAAGGACACTGAGACTGAGAGCATCAACACCAGCCTAAACAGCTGCTGCGTGTGAGGCTATACACGGGTGCTCTCACATCTTGGTTCCGTCTTTCCCTATACTATACTGCTTTCTTATCAAAAGCCTTATCACCAAAATATCAGTACCATTAACAAAAACATCAGTAACGTTTTGTGTGTCTCTTTTTGAACAAGAGCACCAAAGCATGAGAAGAGAAACCCTGGCAGCAGACATGTAGGAACGTGGGAACAGCAAGTTCAGTTCCTCCTAACAGGGAACAGGGGCTGTCCCCCGATTTATATGTGACGCCGTACAGCGGGAAATATTGAAGCTGACAAATAGCCTGTTTACAACCGCACCAGATACTTGGCAGTTAGTTTTTAACAATTGTTGCAAATGTGATTTATTTGTTGTTATGAAAGAGGATCACTGTGAGAATATGATCCTGAAATTAGCTTCAGTTTAGCAAGGGGCCTTGCCAGCTTGACCCCTTAATATTCTTATAATGATGTCATTTACATTCAATGCTTACTCAAGTCACTCAGTGCTAGATTTGTTAGAGAGGAGTCCACTCTAGGGCAGATGTAGTATGTGTTTTAACACACAGAGTTGGTGAGTGAGGCACTCGGAGGCCTTCTAAGAGGAAAAAAATATTTAATCAAATCTTCATGAAAACGTGCTAGTTTCCAACTTCCCGTGGTGAAAATGCATTACTGATAATTACAGCATGCTCCAGAAACACAATACTTTATGTTTTCTCCACAAGACACTTCCGTGGCATAGGCTGTGTTAAACAAGAACATGTTCCGATTCTCTGCAACTCTGACTTTTAATTTGACTGGAGGATTGGTACAACACCAATGCCCTCCTCTCCAGAGGTGCATGAGAGGAGGGTGGGCTTGGGGCCAGGCAGAAATGATTAGAATCTGAGTGCTACCTTTACTTACTGTGGAGACTTAGGTACCTCCTGAACCTGTTTCTTTATCTGTAGCATGGGTTGTAGTTTTTAAATTACCTAGAAAGAGCAGAGAAGTGTGAGAAGTACCTGGCACACCATATGTTCTTGGTCCATGCAAATCATGACTTTTGACTAGTTTAAAGCTCAAATGTCACCTTCAGAGGCAGGCCTGTACTCCACCAGACAAACCCAGCCTGTCCTTTCTACTTCCATAATCGTGGTTACAGTGACATTACACTGAGCTGTGATTCACTGAGCACATGTGGATCTGTCACCTTGACGGCATGACCTAGGCCTTTATATTTTTGATTCTCTAGTGACTTGCATGTCCTGCCTTAATCATTCAACTAAGTTGGATTCTGGAGATCTCACGGGAGTCTGAAATGACAAGTCACCTTTAAAGGGAAAGGAGGAGGTACCATATGACCTACTTTTGTCACTGCCAGTTGAACGCACAGTAGATGCTCAGTAAATACCTGTCAAATAAATTAATAACCACCACTCAGTTATCTACTAGCCCTCAGTAAATGTGTAACTAACCTGTCTGTTTTCCAGAGCATTTAAAATTTTGTTGCGTCATAGCCTGCTCATAATTCCAGATGTCACTGTTGAGGGTACTGTGAATTTGCAGGCTGATAAAGTAAATGGTAGGGCACTTAAGGGTTACATCAGTAACTGTCTGATAAGAATCACAATGTCTTCTCCAAACTCAAGGCAAACTCCCCTTCCTCACACCTTTTCCATTTCAGTTCCCACCCTCCTTAACTTTCATTCCATCTCAGTAGAGAACGTTCGTTGCCCTGCCTACCTCTGAAATGACAAACCACAGGCCAAACAACAACAACAACAAACCAAAACAAAACTAATAATAAAGTCACCAAGAACCAAGGTATTTTCATTTCTTTATGTCTTACCTAATCGCATAAGTTCTAACGTAAGAAACAAGCTTCATCTCTCAGCTGTGTGACATCAAAACAGAAGCAAAGACATCTACTCCAGGAATCTCACTGGCCACTTGTTTAGTCTGGCCTACTGACCTAATTGGGAGTGGTTTGGCTCTTTTTCTTCTCCGGTCTCATTAAACCCTCCCTGACCGCTCTGACTCATGTTTTGACCAGGTATGGACAACAGGCCTCAACCTCTCATACAGCGACCAGCTCTCCATGACGCAGCTCACCCTGTACCTGACAAACGGCCATCTCAATTGTCGTCTGAGCACCCTGGAAGTGCCCCGTTTTAAAGAAGACCCGGAAAGGGAAAGAAAGCGCCTCAGCATCCAGGCAGAGCTGGTAAGCAGCGGGCTCTGTCTGGTTGATTCCGCATTGAGCAGGACTCAGCTGCTAAGTGAGCAAAACCAGACAGCTCCCTGAGCCATTTCAAAACCAGGTCCATAAAAGTGACAGTCTCTGCCATAAAAAGGGAGCGTCCACCCAGGAAGAGGAAGCAGGGTGTGCAAGCCCGGGGGCCCCAGCTTCCTGTCTGGGCAGCTCCCGACTCTCTCCATACTTCTCTACACACCCAGCTATTTTTGACGGCCCTCATCGCTATTTCCATTCTGAACTCAGACTCCTAGACCCAAAACTCCCAGACTGGGCTGCTCTGAGTCTTCAGGTGAAGCTATTTAAATCTATAGGATGACCTCTCTCCCCGTACATCCTTCGGAGGAGGGAGCCGGAGGCCTGACATTCCTTAGCCCCACACCCTGCCAACAACTGGGCTACAGTAACTTTAGCTGCTAGAATGCCTCAGACCTTTCCTGTACTCTGCGTCCGTGAAGACACCACCTTATTATCTGCCCCGCCAGCTTACACTAGCATCGTACAACTCCCGTAAGACTTCTTGTCTCATCTTTTCTTTCCCTTTGGCCTAAAAACTACAGTGAAGACTGCTGCAAAGTAAAAAGTGATTTTTTTTTTAACCTGGGATTTTTTTTTTTTTTAATAGAAAAAAAAGTTTCAGTCTGTCACGGTGACACACACCTTTAGTCCCAGCACTTGGGAGGCTGAAGCAGGTGGGATTTCTGAGTTGAAGGCCAGCCTGGTCTACAGAGCAAGTTCCAGGACAGCCAGGGCTACACAGAGAAACCCTGTTTTGAAAAACAAAAAAACCAAAATGCATATAATATATATTGACTGTGTTTTCCCCTCCCCCAAATCCTCTCCCCTCTTTCCCATCAAACCTCATGCCCTTTTTTTTTTTTTTTTTGTCTCCTTGGAAAATAAGTAAGTAAACAGGGAAGCAAAAATAAAAGAACCAGACATAAAAACACAAAATCAGAGACTATACCAGACAAGCAGAAGACCAGTAAGATTTTTTTTTTAATGCCCAAACCAAGCCTTATGAGAAAAACACCACTGAGTTTGTCTTGTGCCGGGCATCGACTGCCGGGCAGTGGGCTACCCTTACCCTTACATGTGATTAAGTGCCCTTAAGTGAGACTCCATTAGAGAAGCTAATTCTTCCTTTGCCAGTGGATGCCACTTGGAGATAGCTTCCTGGTTAGAGGTGGGAGCCCTTGTCCACGTCCCCGTTTCAGCACTGGAACCCTATCTGGATCGAACCTGTCTATGCAGCCACGGTTCATATGTGTAATATGTGTAATAGTTCCGAGTTCATATGTGTAATAGTTCTGTTGTGTGGAAAAGACAGTGCCCTTGAAGTCATCCATTCCCTAAGGCCCTTAAGGACCTTCCCGCCTCCTCCTCCAAATGGTTCCCTGAACTTGGGGGTGGGGGGTAATCCCATTTAGGACTGAGTGTTACAAAGTCTCTCAGTCACATTATCCAATTGCGGGTCTCTGTATTAGTTCCCGTCTACTGCAAAAAGCAGCTTCTGTGATGATGGCTGAATGAGGCACCGATCTACGGGTGTAGCAGAATGTCATAAGGAGTCATTTAACTGCTGTTTTCCTTTAGCAGAACAATAGTATTTGTTTTTCCTCTAGGTCCGTGGCTTATCCAGCCTTGGGTTCTTAGCCACCTGAGCACCGTCAGGTATGGGTTCTATCTTGTGGAGTGAACCTCAAATACAATCAAAGAGTGGTTGGTGGCTCCCACAACACTTGTCCCACCATTGCACCAGCGAATCCTGCAGGCAGTAGCATTGGTGTAGACTGCAGGGTTTGTTGCTGGGTTAGTGATAGCATGCAGAGTACCTTCCAGTGCCATGAGCACGAGTCAGTAGGGGTGAAGGCTGAAGTTAGGCACTAGCTTGGCTTTATGTTCAATGCAATAAGGTCTTACTGTCAAGATGTAGAGCATAACCAATAGTCTTGGGAATAGCCTGAGCTGTCTTGGGGGTTTCCATGGGCTGCTTTGACTAATGAACGACCCAATGTAAGCCATTCCTGTGTTAGAGGTTTCATCTCCTACCCAGGATTTTAAAAGGTCAGGTTCCTGTGAACTTCCTAGCTTGGTTAACGAGGTCTTCCATGACCGGCCTCTCTGTATTATAGTCTCCTTTGATATCACTAGGATGATAGGCCTGAGACCTGCTGCTGCTGGTGAGGTTTACCAACTCCAGCAACAGAGGTTGCACCTCGAATCAGCAGTCTCCTTTCATCTCCCCCCTCTTGCCTCTAGGTGTCATTCCTAGCTACAGGCCAAGACTGGGAACTCTGAAGACTACAGGATACTTTTAGAAACGGCCTACACAAACAGGAAAGCATTATAAGCCGAAAGAAATAAAGTGTTTCTAGAATCATGGCAAAAGGGCTATTCTGGGTTTCTGGCGTGAGAATAAACTTAAAGTGCTTTAGATCTCAGGGAGCCATAGATTCTGCCAGCCTAAACTACTGCGTGTGCAGCAGGCCCCAAGGCATATTACATATGCAATAGGTTCTTTTTTTAAAGCATGTATATGTATGTACGCAGTACAATTTTCAGCCAACCTGAAACTGTCCAAGCTAGTATGGACACAGTATGCTAGTGTCAGGTCCACAATCAGCCCCCCTTTGAAGACTGAATGGGGTCACTATGACAGTATGGTGTCTACAATAATGAGCCCACTCTGGTCATGACAGCACATTCAGAACTAAGCACTGTAAAGCAAAATGCTCCCAGTCTGCTTCTATTCCTTTAATAATGTGCTGAGCTGAGACAAGAAACAAACAAGTGAGCAAAGAACCTGTTCTAGACTCTCAGGAGAGCTCAGCGATGCCCAGGCCTGATCCAGACTCCTTACCACCAACAAACCATCCAACCAAATACATCTGATGGCCTAAACAAAGTCTGAGAAGTCCCAGATATGCACATTTTAGAGACAAAAAGGAGGAGTGGGATAACAGGTTAGTAAGTACAGTGCTTGCTGCAAAGCATGGAAACCTGAGGTCAGTATCCAGTACCTGTGTACAAACCTGGGGCAGTGCTTAGCCTAGATGAATCAACAGTCTCCAGGTTCAGTAAGAAACCCTGTTTCAAACAAATAAGAGACTGATTTAGGAAGACATTCAGTGTCAATCTCTGCCTTCACATGCATGTACACATGTAGATCCTAGGCATGTTTACACACACACACACACACTCACACGGGGTCACTTTTAAACTTTTAACTAACTTCAAAATCAGCATAAATAATCACCCTTTTACGTCAACTTTCACTTTTCCCTCCTCTTCTTGGACCTTCCAGACCACAGTTCCTGAGTGGCTATTAGAAAAAAAAAAAAAGAAATCATCTTTGCTAACCTCTTAAAACAACCCAAGTCATTTATACGTGTTTGAACAGATATGATCTGTAATGAATGATTAAGTAAAACCTTTTGTGTTAAATTATGATGTTAATAATGACTCTGTCTCCTGTAATTTATTATGAATTCTCAAATGCTCCGGGTTTGATTTTGATAGAATGCAGCCACACCAGAGTTTCTGTGATGACTTTATTTTTAGAACTCCTTCGTTGAAGGCACACATTTCCCCACTACTGCTGCTACTGTAATTATGTACAAAACCAATCACTCATTAGAGTTAGGATACATTATCTTCTAGACAGATGAGGCTAAATAAGCAGCACATTAATAATTCAGAGAGCAGTTCATTATGCATGTGGGTGCCTGCTTCATAACTGGAATAAGAACCTCATCAGCCTCTGCCAACCCTTAAACAATAGTTCTGTGTTATTGCAGCCACATTCCAGTTTACGCTTGTTAAACTGCTACTTGGATTATTTTATCAAACATTCATTTATTTGTGGTCCCTTACTGCCGAGAACAGATTTTGGAAGCTCCTTCTTTAAGTTAATGATTTGAGCAATGGGTGTTATTAATTCTCAGAATATTCTAAACATGATTAATTTTCAGGCAGAGATTTATTACATAAGGATTTCAGCTATGTCAACTGAAATGCATCACTGTCAAAACAAGTATCATGGTGAAAACAGAACGCGCGCCACACTTCAGACGCTGTGCTCAGAACTAAATCAATTTAAATTGTGGCTGAAGCAAAATTATATTCTCCAGTGAAAAAGAGTATTCCAGGCTTCTTTTATTTAGCTTGAAGCATTCTTGTTAGATCGTGATTTAGAAAGGTAGTTTAATAAGACTAGACTAGCACTGATAATGTTTTGTGTGCTGTTTCTTCTCATTTTCCCGGGAAGGCTAACTTTGTGAGATCCCCACACACTCCAGGTGTAGCCAGTGGGAATGTGAAGTGAAGAGTATTGGTCTGGGAGCCGTGGATCACGAATCCTGAGCTTCCTCTGGCCTCAGTTTCCTTAGCTATAAATAAGTAAGTGCTAAGTAATCCTCAAGGTCTCCTGAGCGGACTGATGTGATGGGCCCTGGAGAACAGGGTTGTCTGCAGGAAGCCTTGCTGGCAGCCTCACACACTGCAGAAGACAGGAGGAGGAGCACAACCTGGGCGTGAACGGGAAAGGCCAGTCTCTCCGCAATGCATCCTTTCCTGAAAAGGCCCTTAATTGGTTTTTACTGTTGTTGCAGAAACTTCTAGAAGGAGTAATACTGCCATGACAGGCGACACCTAAGACCTTTTCAGTCATTGCTAAGCTCTATCTGTTAACACTCAGCGAGAATCAACCAGAAGTAAATTCAGGTCTCTCATCCAACACATGAAGCACGGAGAAAACTGGGGCAAGTGGCCACAGAGCTTAGGGTGAGGGCAGCCACACTGTGCACTAAGCCTGGCTCTGCCACAGAGCTTAGGGTGAGGGCAGCCACACTGTGCACTAAGCCTGGCTCTGCCACAGAGCTTAGGGTGAGGGCAGCCACACTGTGCACTAAGCGTAACCCACGTGTGCTCTGCTAAGACCTTCATATGGATTTGTTTATAACCTGATATAGTAGCCAGGAGCAACTACATTCATTTTCAGACATGAGAATTTGGGTTAAGAGAAGGTAAGCACATGTTAAAGGTTACTGAGCAAGAAATTGGGGAAGCCAAGGTTTAATGTTTAGGCTGTCAAACTTGCAACTATGCTTAGCCAGCCTTGCACTGGCTCAGAGTTAGGGCCTGGGTTCCTGAGAGCTTCAGCTCCTTCCTGAAGAAGCCTGGTTGAAGCTTCAGAACACTCTTTCCAAAGGGAGAGCCATGGCCCTTGGGACTAAACTGCTTTCTGGCATGTGTCACCCACTGTCTTTCTATCTGAGATCGGCCATGCTCAGAGACACAGGGTGGGCTGGGTGGTCGTGAGGGAGCTGTAGAGTTGAAAAGGAAACCTGAGGAGACGTGGTACAGGTTTCCCAGGCAGCACAGATGGCTGAGTAAGTAACAGAGAGAACAGAAAAGACCAAATCACTTAAAACCATAAGGCATCCTTTCCTAAAAATGAGCAGTTTATATACTAAAGCATGAACACAATATATATTTTCACAAATAAAATCCGCAAGGCCATCAACAGGAGCCATGAGAGTGACTGCTCCAGAGAGATGACGATGGCCTGGTAGGGTCAGGAGGCTCCTTAAAGACACATGGAGCTTGGCCTTTCTCGGGTAGTCGGTGAGTAGACGAGAAGGGAAGGCCTCCAGCAGTAAAGGGGAGAATGTCTGAAAAGACCTGTGGTTCCCTTAGAAGAATCAGAAGGCAGAGGTTAGAGCAGTGCACTGAGCCTCGGGAAGAGTCTGCCCACTAAGCTAGGCTCTGGATTTCAGCTTGAAGGCTGACAGGACCCCGAGGACTTTTGAGTAGGAGACTGATACTGAGCAACCTGGTTTGAGGAGACAATGAATCTTGTGGTGATGATCAGAATCCCAGGAGACAAGTGGTACCAGTAGAAGAAGGGACAGCGTAGGTAATTATATTTATTTATGGCCTAAAATCCTTTCAAGGGAATAGTGACAAAAATAGTAGATACTACTTATCAGATTTCCGGCAGTGCTAGATGGTACACTGTCAAGTTCAGAAGTTAAATGTTAAATTCAGGATCGTGCAGACAGTCCACGGCCTCACAGGTTTTGAACCGCAGAGTTCCTGACTCCGTATGTCCTGCCCACTGTGGAATTCTGCTTGTTCCTCATCTACAGGATTCCTGAGTACTAAAGTCATGGGCTAGGGTGTTTCAATCGTGGAAAAGAAGCGGCAACTAAGAGATCTATCAAATAGCCTGAATTTTTTTCTGATTCTTCATGCATTTTACATTCAGGATTGGGGAAGGGGGTGGCAATATTTTGTCTTCGCCAAGAAATCTGGTCTTACTGACATCCAGCAGTCACATTCTGTCGGGCTACGAACTGTGTTGTTGTGCTTTATGATCAAGAAGTACAGTGTGGAGGGTGACCTACCTTCCAGGTACCTTCCTCCCTCTCTCTGACTGTGGCATCATGTTGGTTGTGCTTATTTACATACTAAGGTAGCATAAGATAAGTTTAGAAGACAAAAATAACAAATATTATCTTGTAAATTCATGGTAACTACCACACAATTACAAGCTTAGTCGCCGCAGTAAATTTCAGTGTGTTTGTACTTCACATCCATGTGCAAAGGCTCGGGCTCCTGGGCCTTCACTGTGAAGGCAGAGGCACTACATGGCCTGGCATGGGAAAGCCGAGGCAGCTGATCCAGACCTACTCTTAACTGGCTCTTTTCACCACAATAGTGTGCACCATGGCAGCAGTTACGTACTGCACATTAAAAAAGAAAAAAAAAAACAACAGAAGAAAGAACTTTTGAACATTTTTTACCACAAAGAAGTGATGTTTGAGGAGATAAAAAAAATGCTTAATCAGATATAAATATTGTGAAATGCATACTTGTATCAAACATTTCATGGTACCTCACTGATAAGCAAAAATGTTTATGTTTTATATTTTTGTGTGTCTCTTAAAAATAAAAATGTCTTAGTCAATACAGATGGGACAACCCTAACGGCAATATTGACTCAAATTGCATTAGCCTGGGAGGGCCTAACATTTGTTAGGGGAAAGCATCTTAATCAATGGTACTGACGGGAATGCTTGACATGTAGGGTTTGATATAAATGCTGACAGAAAGCCACGTGGAAGGGAGACATGTTACGAAAGATGCCTGTAGAGTCTGGACATGTGTGCCAAAGAGAGAGAGGAAGAGGGAGCAGGAGGAAAGACTGTGGGTGACACAGAAGAATAATGATGTCTACTCCCTGATGGCACTTGATCATCTCAGTCCCTTCAGTCCCTCAGAGCCTGAGGTCTGCCTGCAGATCTCCAGGAACCCCAAAGCTAGCTATGTGCCAGCATTTCTTAAGACTTCTGTTTCAAGTCATTGCAGAAGTCCAAGCATCTGTGATACCTCAAGTTAAAGACCTGGGCCAGGAACACTCCTCTTCTACCAGTCTAAAGCTGGTCATGCTTCTGTATGCATGCCTCTAAATTCCCAGTTACCTCACAGAAACAGCCAATTGTCCAACACAAATATAACATGTTATAACCGGTATGCTGCAAAGCTGCTAGCATCTAAATCCTTTAGTTCTTGCAGATTAAATTTTAAATGTTTTAAAACTCTGTGGGCCTACTATCGCCAGTCACTGGGACAGCTCCAAATGACAGGTGTGCAAAATGAAGTGAGGGGCATGAAAAGTACAGGGCTACTTAGGCAGAGGAAGGAGGTCACAGCAAGGAGAAGGGGACAAGAATAGGTGAACACAGTTGAAATCTATCGTGTACACGTATGAAAATACCACAATGAAACCCATTTATATATATAATTAACATCTGCTAATAAGAAACATTTAAAACTAGAAGTTTCCCAACACAAAATACAGTTAGTTCCAAAATTGGCTCCCTGGAGGAAAGTGGGTGTTGGAAATGCTGGCGTGACTACTTCTGTAAAGTACATTATGGGAAGGGAGTGCTATTTGTTAGCACTATCAAGAATACGTTGATAATGTGTTGGTCAGCTTTAAGGTATTAGCTATAAGACAGGAGGATTATTTAGCTTATAGTTCGGAGGTTCCCCTCCTTGGTGGACTGGCCCACTACCTTGGACATCTGGTGGGGGTGACAGGTTGCAATGATGGAACGATGACCCCGGGAGTGAAACAGAGACTAAAATAGACAAACATCCTTGCAATCCCCTTTGAGGGCTTGTCTTCAATGACCTAAGGATCTTCCACAGAAACCTACCTTCTAACGGTTTCCTCATCCTTTCTAACATGCGAGCTTTAGGAACCAGCATCCAAAATGCAATAACACAGACCCTAGATCTGGGATGGCGAAGACTCTCACTGAGATATGTGGCCTTTCCCTTTCAAAAACATACTACTCCAGTCCAATCACGAGAAAAACATCAGGGAAAAAAACAATAGGGATTTTAAGAAATTACTAACCAGTACTCCTCAAAGTCGTCAAGTTCATCAAAAACTTGGGAACCTGAAAAACTGTGAGAGCCCCAAGGAACGTGAGAAAATGGATACAACAGGAACATAAGGACTGAATATGACATGACACTGAATATGAGATGGGACCCTGAAACAGGAAAGGGGAAAAACTAATGAAATTCAAATAAAGTATCAATTTAAGGTAGGTGATAGCAACGTAGCAGTTTGGGTCCCTAGTAATGACAAATGTTCCAGAGCAATGCAATATATTAATAGCAGTGCAACTGTAGTAGGATAAACACTTCTGTGTTGTCTAGCAATTTTTCTGTGACTCTATAACTGTAAAGTTAAAATTTGATTTAAAATTTTTTAGAGTCTAACTTTCAGTTGTGGCTTTTCTAGGCACCAGAAACCAGTCGCTATGCAGTGATGTCCACCCAGCTGAGGCATGACAATCTCTCACTAATCTTCTATTACGTTTTTCTCCAGATGTGTAAGGCCCATGGCATTGGCTATGACCTTGAGGTATGAGGGGTTAGAGTTATAGTTCATCAGGGCTGGACCCATAGTTATGAGCAGGGCTCAGTGGTTAACAAACTGATACTCTTTCAAAGAAATGTTCTTTAAGATTGGGTAGGTGTCTTCAGAGGAAGGTCAGATATTGTACAGGACAGGAACCTGCACAACAGGGGCAGGACTTAGTTCTGGAAACTTCCTTTCCTCTCCAGACTTGCACAACCACATCAGAGAGCACTAGCCCTGGTTACCAGACTTAGAGTACCCTGGAGGCATCTCTTGATCCTGAAACAGGCATGCCCTGAGCCCCCAGAGCCTACCCACTGCTGCTTCCTAAGAAATAGCCTCAAATAGGACACAAAGTACTGTTTTCCCACAATTGGAGGGTGGAAGTCCAAGATCAAGCCACTGGTAGATTTGGCTTCTGGTAAGAGGACCTATTTGTTTGTCTATAGACTGCTGTCTTTATCTTATGTCCATAACACACAGACACACACACACACACACACACAGACACACACACACACACAGAAAAAGAAAGACAGAGAGACAGAGAAAGAGAGACAGAAACACAGAGAGAGAGACAGAGGCAGAGAGAGACAGAGAGACTCAACACACACACTAACACACACAATCTCTGACACTCTAGGGTGTTCTCAGATACTACATGACCAGTACCTACTTGAGCAAACCCAACATATCACATCAACAATATAAAAACAAATTCACTGCCCACATGTAATATCCCACACACACACACACACCAGGGGAGGTGAAGCCTTTTGTATAAGGACACCAGTTCTAAAGAATTAGGGCTTTACTCTTATGACTTCATTTAACTAGTCATGCCCCTAAAGGTCCTGTTTCTAATATAGTCACATAAATTGAAATACAAACTAGGGAACAACAAGATGAAGTCCTTATCATTCTGCTGCTTACATATGATGATTTTTTAAAGAAGAAGTTCTGATTACTTTTAAAGATGGGGGCAGTATCCCCACTTTTGACACTGTACAGCTGGTCCATCCTAGCTTAGCTTCATGGGACATATGAAATACAAGGGGCTATTCCTAACCCAGGACCTCCAGTTTGTGTCCAGCAACTCATGTCACTCTGGAAAAATAATTTCCTATTTTTCCACTTAGACACGTTTTCAAACTTCTGACACACCAGGATGTTCTAAGACACTACTATGTGACACAATACCTATTTGAGCAGACCCAACACATCACATCAACAACATAAAAATAAATTCGCTGCCCACAAATAATGACCTAACAACTATACAGGTACAACTTAATTGAATGTTTTGATTTGTAAAGATACAATTTAATATATATTAATTTTAGGCAAGCAGCCTGCCCCTGAGCCACATTCACAGCCCTAATGCAGATGAGTTTTCAGTTTTATTACTTGAGAACCAATATTGTTTTCAAGAATCAACTTTTTTGGGCCTTTCAAAGCCATTCAAACTTTAAGCACAGTATGAATTGTGAACAGAATGCCTGGGATGACACTTGGCAAGCCCAGCAAGCTGGCAAGCCATTGTCAAGGTCATGAAGACCTTCGGTTAGCCTGACCTGTGCTGGTGTAAACATATACAATGGAGCTGATATTGCTTTGCAGATTACATTAAATCTGATGAAATGCAGAAAGAATGAAAAAGCCAGAATGAACTGATTTACCTGGAATAGTTACATCTGCTGCACACAATCCCTTCAGAATTAGTTTTTTTTTTTTTTTTTGGTCCCAAACTGATAAGACTGAAACGTTTCCATGTACCACAAGGTAGCTAGCTAACTGTTTTATTTTTCTAAAGCATCAAAACAGAATATGTTTTATAAATCAGCATATTTGGCAGGGATGTCTCAAAGCCCAAAACAAAACATACTTTACCGCTTTCTATTACTCGAAATGTGTTTATTCTTGAACTAAAGGCTTTGCACTTGATTAGAGTTATAATACTTTTGAGGAAAGTAAAGCCCAATGGGAGTTATTTACACCTTTTGCTTCTTGAGTGATTGGATACATTTCTCTTTCTTTTCTTTTTAAATTCAGTCTCTGTAGAGACTATTAAAAAAAAGCCAATGCTGAGTGTAATGCAAGTTGTCACGGCAAGGTACTGGGAAAAGTTCTTAATTAGCAATGATCATGCCTAGGATAAACCTCATTGGCTACGATACTACAACTAAGAGCAGATTTTATACGGAAACTGTGTTGCCATGGTATGGTGATCCAGCGAGGGTCAGGAGCCTTGCTAGGGAGAGGATGGGTAGAGAGGCGCCACAGACAGCCATCCCAGTTCCCAAGACTCACCCTCAGGTTTCCTCATGTTCAATAACTTACAAAGGATGAAAGAGAAAAGGGTGAAGAGAAATACAGACTAGGGGCGACAGAGTAATGGAACAACACAAAGAAGAAAAACAGGACCAGAAGCAAATAAGAGATAAAAGAACCTGTCTGAAGAAAGCAGAGGGGATAACCGGAAAGAAAACAAAAACATAAATATTTATGGATCTATAAATATATATTTGTATATAATTATATATATTTGTCTCAAATTATATGTATATAATTATATACAAATATATATTTTATTTTATATGTAAGTATATATTATATAATTTAATATAATATATAATTATATAATACATAGCATGTAATTGTATATTATATAAATATATAGAGATAAATATATCATATGTACATACATATATATGGATTAGGGGCAACACACAATGTGTGTGTGTGTGCGTATGTGTGTGACAGACAGACAGACAGACACAGACAGACAGACAGAGACAGACACAGACAGACAGACAGACACAGACAGACAGACACAGACAGACAGACAGACAGACACAGACAGACAGACAGACAGACAGACAAACAGACAGAGACAGAGAGACAATGCTGAAGGAAGAGAGAATCATCTGACCATGTTGGTATTTTACAAATTTCCCAGCTGTATTATTGCCTGATTTTTTCTGAAATGGTCTCTCATATTTCTTGACTTTAAACATTAATGCAAAAATCTATCCCTAGTAAGAACTTTCTACCACCATTCCTTTTCTTCTTCTTTCCCTTCCCTTTCCCTTTCCCCTTCCTCCTCCTCTTCCCCTTCCCAACCCTCCCCCCTCTCTCTCATCTTTTACCTTTTGGTTTTCTGAGACAAGCCCTTGTTCTGAATCTTGGTCTGGTCTTAAATTCATGGTAATCTTCCTGCTTCACCGGCTTACTTCCTGGACTCCAGGCATTCTTCATGACCTCTGGTCATTCTTCCTTTCTTGACAGACTTCTCTCAGGAGGGGAGAGAGATGGTGGGGCAGCACTATAGAGCACTTACCGAGTGCTGGCCACATGAGCATTTTCACTCCACCATCTCATTCATTCTGCAGGCCCATGCTGGAAGGAGGTGTTGTTTCCACCACACCACAGTGAAATTTTCCCATTGTGCAGCCAAGAACATTATAGAGTGGTACGCGGTTCTATCTCCCATGTGTGTCCTTCCCTCTTAAGAACTGCTTCCCTTTAACTGAAATATGATTCCCAGCCTAATGAAAGAATTTTGAGATCCATTTCAAAAGTGTGTTCTGTCTCAGTGCCTCGGCTGCAGAAGCAACCACCTCTGCACAGTCTCTATGCCTGCCTCTACCTTACAAAGGGGCCTGTGTTTAATATTGGCTTCCTAGGATTTCATTATCTCTTTAGCTTATACTGAGAATAAGAAGAAAGCCGTTTATCTAAACTCAAGTGTAACCTGTGCCACCGGCTTTTGCTTTTGGTTGAATTTAAAGCAGGCTCTTTTTCCAGGAAAAGCCACAGAAACAGACCCATTACGTCCTCATCCAACTTGGTTTTCTTCCTGTTATCATCACAGAATCTCAGTGGTGCTTATGTCTTTGGTTTTTGTCCAAAACTGAATGTGGGGAGAGTCCGATTACCCTATAAGCTTATTTTTCTTGATGCATATTAGAGCGATAGGTTGCCGAGTTTGTAGGTAACTTAGTGAGACTAGTTCTTAGCATCTCTGTAATGCTACAGAACGCCTAAACTGGTTTCTTGATGAAATGAAGTTGTAACTCAGGCCATATGAAGGCAAGCATCACATTTAGTTTCTGCAGCAGTGTGACGGGGGCTGGTGTCACACACACACACAGGCAGTGTGCCACCATCTTATACAGCCCCACAACCAGTGACAATCATTTTCTCTGGCCTAGATATTGCCATGGTGAGAAGCATTAGTGTTGTTTACAAATATTCTGGTTCTCCCCTTTCCAGGCACATAGCAGAACTACACACTTTCACTGCTTCCCCAAAGTTAGGCATAGCCGTGTAAACTGTTTTGACAGGTGAGAAATGAGCAGAGGTAAACATTTGAGTTGTCATATTCTTTCAAGCTCATTCCATCAGCTCACTCTAACAGTCTGGTTGCTGAGGGTAGTCACAGGAGTCAGAGACACACGCCACCCATATGGAAGAAGAACATGAACAAGAAAAACAGCTTCTGGTGTAAGAAACAACCAGCAACTGTTTCTCAAATACTGAAGTATAGCCAGCCTACCTGGTTGGCACAAGAATTAATATCAAGGGAAAGGTGTCCCCAAGGAAAATCTACAAGCTTGATATTGACATGGTTGTAAGCAGTGACATGGTACCCAATGATTAAATCAATCTTTTAAACCATGGAAGAAAAGCTCTGTTGCCTAAGTATTAATTCCCAGAAAAAAGATCAACATCAATAAATATCCCACAAAGCCTTGGAATGAGAAGCCTATGAATTTTTTCTGATTATGAATTACATTCCAGGTGACATGGACTTATTTGAACAAAAGAGAGAAATAAAAATCTGAAGTAAAAACCATTGATTTGAAGTGATTTGCTATACCTATGTTAATAATAATAGAGTCCTAGAATTGTCCAGTAAAAATATGTGAACCACAGATATTTACATTTGTCTTGCTACAGTTTTTAAATGTGAAAAATAGGCAAGGCAATATATTAATTTAATATATACACTCATAAATCCAATATATTAAGATATTTTATCTCAACATAATCAGCATAAAACTATTGAGATATTTACATGCTGGCACTAACCATTTTTTAAACTTGTTTAACTTTCTATTGAAAGACTTTTTATACATATATTTTGACCATGGATGGCTTTTCCCTTCCCAATCCCCCTCCCACCTTCCTACCCACCCAACTTTATGTTCCTTTTTCTTTCTCACTCTCTCTTCAAAAAGCATACAAAGACAAAAGAAAAATGAAC